GGAGACTTTGAGGTCCAGCGGCTCTATGACTGTAACTGGATCGTGGTCAATTGTTCAACACCTGCCAACTACTTCCATGTGCTTAGAAGGCAAATCTTATTACCATTCAGAAAGCCAGTAAGATCAAACTTTTTCCTTGTTTGGGAGTTTGGGAAAGTTTGGGATAAGTAAGATTTTCAATGTTTTTTCTTATGCTCATCAAGGCTGTATCTATTTGATCAAAAATACAGAAAAAAATGTAATTTTGTGAAATATTATTGCAATTTAAAATAACAGTTTTCTATTTTAATATACTTTAAAATATAATTTATTCCTGTGAAGCAAAGCTGAATTTTCAGCATCATTACTCCAGTCTTCAGTGTCACATGATCCTTTGGAAATCATTCTAATATGCTGATTTATAATCAATGTTGGAAACAGTTGTGCTGCTTAATATTTTTTGGGACCTCTGAATCTTTTTTAGGATTCTTTGATAAATAAAAAGTTTAAAAAAATATAGAAGTTAAAAGTTAAAAATATATAAATATGTTAAAATGTAAAAATAAATAAATGTAAAAATTTGATAAATAAAAAGAACAGTGTTTATTCAAAACAGAAATTTTGTGTTACAATATACACTACTATTCAAAAGTTTGGGGTCAGTAATTTTTTTCTTTTTTTTTTAAAGAAATTAATACTTTCATTCAGCAAGGATGTGTTAAGTGGATAAAAAGTTAAAGTAAAGATTTATATTGTTAGAAAAGATTTCTATTTTGAATAAATGCTGTTCTTTTTAACTTTTTATTCATCAAAGAATCAAATAAAAAAGAATCACAGTTCCAACAAATATTAAGCAGCACAACAGTTTCAACACTGATAATAAATCAGTATATTAGAACGATTTCTGAAGGATCATGTGACACTGAAGACTGGAGTAATAGCAGATGAAAATTCAGCGCTGCATCACAGAAATAAATTATATTTTAAAGTATATTAAAATAGGAAACCAATATTAGAAATTGCAATAATATTTCAGGATATTATTGTTTTTTCTGTATTTTTTATCAAATAAATACAGCGTTGATGAGCATAAGAGACTCCATTAAAAAACATAAAAAATCTTACTGATCCCAAACTTTTGAATGGCATTGCACAATTGAGAGAAACTGTACACTGAAAGATGTAGTACTTTGTGCTACATTGGTGTTATGAATTTAGTCTTAAGTTTAATGTCACAGCTGCTGTGAAGGTAGTTTGATGGACTTTATTAACTTAAGCTTAAACTTAGATTTTATGTGAAAGTTTGACGTATGTCCCAACACTCTTTTGCTTCTGTGCCACTGCAATTGTCTAAAGTGATTCCCTTTTGTGGAGAAATGCAGAGGTTTGTGGAGCATGAGAAAATCTCTTCCTGAGCAAATTAAACTGTGAGCGTCTGAGGATGATATTGTTTGTTTTGTATGAAAGTGCTCTTCATTTACTGTTTTGCTTGGTTTCACAGCTGTGTTTTTATTACTATTCTTTTGTATTCCCTTAGATTGAAGTTTTAAAGTTTTAAAGTGCCTAAATGCAACTACAGATGCATCTCAATAAATTAGAATGTCGTGGAGAAGTTGATCACCTCCATGCCACGCCGAATTGAGGCAGTAATTAAAGCAAAAGGAGCCCCTACCAAGTATTGAGTACATGTACAGTAAATGAACATACTTTCCAGAAGGCCAACAATTCGCTAAAAATGTTTTTTTCATTGGTCTTATGAAGTATTCTAATTTGTTGAGATAGTGAATTGGTGGGTTTTTGTTAAATGTGAGCCAAAATCATCACAATTAAAAAAACCAAAGACTTAAACTACTTCAGTCTGTGTGCATTGAATTTATTTAATACACGAGTTTCACAATTTGAGTTGAATTACTGAAATAAATGAACTTTTCCACGACATTCTAATTTATTGAGATGCACCTGTATAACTCAAAAACAGTTTGACTGACCACATTTTCATATTCTTAATCAGCTGATCATTTTCACACCAAAGTCTTTACTGAGGCTGCCCGAGGCACGCTCCAGTTTCGATGAGATGATCACAGGTACAAAATTCTGGTAGACTTTAAATTCTGTCCAGCTTTTGGGGATAGAATTTGGCCATATCTAATTCATCTATGTTGCAGGGACAAAATTCCTAAGGATAATTCCAGATGGTGGTCCTGCATCCAAACACCCAGAAAAAGTCAAAAGGGTCATCTTCTGCACCGGAAAAGTGTACTATGAGCTGGCAAAAGAGAGAAAACAGCTGAAGTTGGAGGAGGATGTTGCAATTGTCAGATTGGAGCAGGTTGCCAATTATAGTTTCCTGTGGTGTAAAGTGTAATGACACTGCAAAAATGACTTTTCACAATCAAATTCTTCCCTCTTAGATATCACCCTTCCCTTTTGACCTCATCAAGGCTGAGGTTGAGAAGTACAGCAATGCTGAACTCATATGGTGTCAAGAGGAGCACAAGAATATGGGCTACTATGATTACATAAGGCCACGTTTCCTCACAGTGCACTCTAAGAATCCAATATGGTGAGTCTCTTTTTAAAGGAATAGTTCACCCAAAAGTGAAAACTTGCTGAAAATGTACTCACCCTTAGGCCATCCAAGATGTGTTTGTTTCTTCATCGGAACAGATTTTGCAACAAATCACATCAGTTGCTCACCAATAGATCCTCTGGAGTGCCATCAGAATAAGTGTCCAAACAGCCAATAAAAACAACTCCAGTCCATCAATTAATGTCTTGTGAAGCGCAAAGCTGGGTGTTTGTAATAAACAAATTCATCATTGAGATGCTTTTAATTTCAAACGAGTCCTCTATCCATAATATTGCTTTCTCCAGTTGTCTCATATGAATCAAAAATATGCACAGACCAAGCAAAAACAGTCCAAAACAGTTCTTAACAAGTATGACGGTGGATTTTGATGTGAGAGGACAACAGGGGATCGACTTTTTTATTGGAGGAAGCATTATGAACTATTTGATTATTTTGGCATTACTTGTGTATTATTGTGATGTTTTTATCAGCCGTTTGAATTCTCATTTTGACGGCACCCATTCAGTGATGTAATGCTAAATTTCTCCAAATCTGTTCCATTGAAGAAACAAACTTATCTACATCTTGGATGGCCTGAGGGTGAGTACTTTTTTTTTTTTTTAGCAAATTTTCATTTTTGAGTGAATTATTCATTTAAGCTAAATGTTTGATGTAGCCTAATCAAACGTATATACACCAAACTAAAAACTTTCACATTCATTTTAGGTATGTTGGCCGTGACCCTGCTGCAGCCCCTGCCACTGGAAACAAATTCACTCATCTGGCTGAGCTGAAGAGGTTCTTGGACACTGCGTTTAACCTTGAGGCTTTCAAGGGCAGGAGTTTTTGATGCTTTTGTGTAAGATGTGGAAGTTCGATTTTAAAATTAAATATAACAGTTATCAACGCACAATTTATTAAATAAGGTCACTTTCATGTTGCCAAAGTATATACAATTGATAAATTGAGCACAAAACAGCAAATAGAAATTTGTTTAGCTCATTTATCCATAGATTTGCACCAGAAATCCCTTATCTGTTTTAAGATTATTTTTTATTTATTTGTCTTCCATAACTGTCACACTTGGCTTCATCCTGAGACATCAAACAGATGGCATGTAGACAAGTAATAATATTCTCTATGGCAGTGGCGATATTCTCTGTAGCTTCCACAAAATATGCTTCCTTTTTTGACTTTAGGGTTCTTGTGGCGTTTAGGACTTGTGGGAATCACGACATTTATAACGTCAACATGTCTGTGACAACTTTTAAATGCTATACACACTGGGAAAGAAATAAAAGGAAGTTTAGCAAAACAATTACTTTAACCACCAATATGATAAGCACAAGTATCTGATGCAATATCTTTCCGTGTAATCTTTCTGTCAGCAAACTGCATTTGTAGTGGATTTTAGCAAAACTAAAACTTGTACATGGTCATCTGTAATGATCATTCTGTGGCTGCTTATACATAGTTAAACCTTTAATTGTCACTCAAGCTGGACTAAACAGCTATAACTAGCAACTATAATCCAGCTAACTGTAGGTTAGTCATGATAGGCACATGCTACAGTGAATTTAATGTAAATGTTTAAAAAGGCTACACAATATTAGATTTAGTTGTAGTATATTATAGACACTAGGCATTGCTCATGGGGAAAAAAGTGATCATAAATATAATTCACTGTGATAGATTGTGATAAATGATAGACGTTTCTCAGCAATAATGCAATAAACTTGTGTCACTGACAAACGATGGATGTTTGCTTTGTTATATCATTTTTCACATACCTGTGCACATACATAAGAGGTCTCTCCACAGACAGTGTGCTGCCTTCCTATACAGCAAGACAGCATTAGTGGACTTAAGCATGCCAGAAAATGCTGTCTAGTTAATATGCTCACTAGATTTTAAGACATGGGGTATGTTTAGAATAGTATGCTGTACCTTACAACTATTGTAATTGCTGCATTATGTAGTAGCCTATGTATACTGTGCACAATTTCCGGACTTACTGTATTTGCTGAAATGAGCAGTGTATAAAAGCACACTTATTTATTGGACTACTGTATCCCACAATGTAGTGCACTTTACTTGACCTTCCATTTCCAGTGTGATGAATAAACTGGAAGTAATAGGCCTACAGTATCTGCTTTCTTGACTCATCTGAAGAAATGTTAAGACATTTTACACAAAATTAAAATGAAAAATGTTAAAACATTTTTCCCCATGTTAGCTTGACTCTCCCAAGCTCAGCATGCATTGTGATTAAATAAACAAAAAAAGTGAGTGTGTGTAGCGAATTATGTTTGTTCACCATTAATGGAATAACTCCACCTGGTTCACTTATATTTAAAGAATAGTGTAGGCCTACTGTTGTTCCATTAGTCACTTTCCCCCCCAAATAAAATAGTAGGCGTTATACTGCGTAGTATTCTGTACGTATTATGCTAGCGTTCCATTGCGCACACGGTCATAGACATGGCGTTCAGTACGCGTCCCTCACCGCGTCAATGGCCTCTTGGCACCGCGGATCAAGTCGTCCATCACCCCCTATGAGCAAAGAGAAGTTTGACAGGCACTTCATGAGCATCACATCTCTTATCATCCAAACAGCAGAGGTTTTCAAATGTTGACGCAAATTACCAAACTCAAGGTCAGTAATGTTGCACGTGTAGACGCACTCTCCATTCACAATAAGCTCTACTATATTCCAGTCATCTGTTTTCTCGAGGACACACTGGTGGCCGTCGTGTTTTAGGACCGCTAGAAGTGAGGGTAATTTTCACCCAATTACAGTTGTGCTTCCTGTATTGTTACTACAAACGGATAATGGCTAAAAATGTAACAAAATGACTGAAACTTTAGGACACATTTTTAAGGATTACCTTGTAAACCGTCCAGGCGAAATGTTCTGTGCTCGACAATATAACACGACTCATATGGACCATATTTGACTGTTACTACTGAATTAGTAGGCATATTTATAAATCTATAATGTTATATAATCCACCCCAAGGCTAGGCTGTTGTCAAAACTGCGTTTGTGTATACTTCTCTCCATAGTAACCAGTGACCATAGTAACCTAAAACATGCAAACAGGTCACAGAAAGTCAGAAAAGTCCATTTTTATTTAGCAATATTATAATTGCTATACCTTTCTCAAAAGTGTAACTTATAATAGATATAAGTCCAATTTAGTTTCCATCGGAAATCTTATAATTGTTATTGGAATGATGTTCCAATGCAAAAAAATAATCTGGTGCCCCTTCTTTGTAAAATAAGTTATTTTTAGGTTTGTTTTTGGAGCTTGATGTGCCATTCTCAATAAAAGTTGTAGATTGCTGTGAATAAAAACACTTGCTATATGATAAATGTTAATGTACTTGGCCTAAATCATTGTAGTGGGCATGAATTAATGTGATGTGAAATGTTGAATATTTTTATGCTGTGGTGTGGTAACAAAACGTCCTGTGCCAGAATACAGATATTTCATAGTTGGTGGTAGTAAATACTCAGTGAACACATCATTGGTTTTGATTAGTAGTTTTTATGGCATCTTTAGGATACAGTGATATTGATAAATAGACCATTTATCTTTTGAAAACTCTTTTTGAAAAAATAAATATCCCAGAGTTAAATAACATCACAGTTTAAGCACTCCACCACTAGACATACATTGTGTTACATCCTCATTTTTACATGTATTTTCTGTTTTGCCCATTCTCAAGTATTCATGCTTAACATGATGTCATGATAATCAACAAACATATTCTATTACTAAAACAAACATATTCTATTACTAAAACTTGGGCTAAGGCTATAATTTCTCTCTATATATAGTATACGTATTTTCTCTCTTTTTATATATACTCTAGTATGTGTAACATGATTGAGTGCTTTATTAGTCTATTTCAGCTAAGCTACAGTACATATTTGATCTAGTTATAAAGTGCTAAAATTAATTTCTCAAGGCGTCACTGTTTTTCTTTTCTTTTTTATCTACTTCACAATTACTATCATGACTGGATCAACATGTAGGATATACAAATTAGACACATTTAAAAAACACAGTGTTTACAGTGTTCACAATATAAAAACATATTCTCACTCTTTATCTGTGTACATTAGACAGACATCAAGTATTGTTCAGTTTTGTTTAGATATACTGTATAGACCTAGTGTGCAACACGTGTCAATGTCATTTTCAGACGTAATATAAGCACATTTTCACATACACAACAATGATTGTACTTTTAAAAAAGCTTATCAATTTGCCACTGTTATTAAACCATTCTTCCTGGCTTCATAGGTTTCTGCTATTGCATTAGAAATCGAAAATTCCTGTTACTATTATTGCATTGGAAATTAAGACAACCCCACAGAATGGAAACACGTGACAATGGCTCATATTCTTTAAACATTTATGCACACTGGCTTGTTTTTAGGACCTTAGACTGTGCATTTCAGAATATGACCTAGTGAGAATTCAATTTAGAGAACACATAAAACACAGCACACTTTAAAGCTATAATACCATAGAGTATAAATTATAATGCCTGGTCCTGACATTTTGTTTGTATACTGTAGACTTAAAATAGACTTTGCTATATATACAGATACTTAAAAAAAAAATACATTAAATAAACTTTAAAATGCAAAAGATGAGACTCACAAAGACAAAGTTAAATAGCAGCTTCTGGTCCAGTTCCACAGGGTTGTCATTCAGAGTACTGTATTTTGACAGGTATCTATAACCATAAGTTATGGTAACTCTGACATGACCATAAAAAAACTGGTGTAGTTTGTAAACTGCTATAGGTTATCATATTATAATTTACATACGCATGCTAATCAAGTGGATATAGTACAGCTTTTCAAAGGCAGCATAATTGAGAGTGTAATTTTTTAGGACAATTTCCAATTTAGTTTCCAGCGACAAGCATCAAGGCGGCCCTCATAATAATTTTTCAATGTTGTTGAAAAAACTGTTGAAACATTCTTTAAAATATCTTCTTTTGTGTTCTACAGATGAAAGTGAGTCATACAGATTTGGAACGGCATGATGGTAAGTAAATGATTACTGAATTTTTATTTTTGCGTGCTGTGAACTATCCTTTTAATGCTGCCTTTGACAGTGTCAACTATTAATATACTCTTAGACAGACTGAAAAGCTGGGTAAATAATGGGCCAATAGGCCAAATAATGCAAAATAACTAAACAGATCTACTTTTGTCAAGCGACTATAGCTCCATAGAATATCTATATCACTGCTGTTGGTAATAAAATGGGCCTTGTTTTTGAGACTCTTATTTTCTCCCAAAATGTCCATCTTTGTACAGTCACAGTGGTTTCTGTATCTTCCATACGATTCAAATGATGTAGCTTCTTGCTATGACTTGCTTCCATTCTTCATTACCTTGGTATTTCCGTCCATCTTTTCTGTGGAGTCAGTTGGTTTAGCTTCAGTGTTGCCTTTTATGCACAGATCTTGCATTTCCTTTAGGCACCCCTCAAGAGTCTTCACAAACAAATCTGAACTGGTCTCGGCACTCTCACGGAAGCTTGACACGCAGAAGATGATGTGGTCCGTCTGAGGATTGTAGCAGGCTCCGTAACCATTAGGGACAACAGGACCATAGCAGCAGAACATCTCTTCAGTGGTAGGAACCTATGCAAACACAAGCGTATTTGAACAAACAGATTGGTGATCAAGTTCTAACATTTTTTCTACATATTATATTAAAATAAAGATGTATGCACACTATGAATCACAAATCCATTTAGGTCTATCATGATTTCAGAACCTGGCTTGTAGAGAGAATGAAGTGGATGCTGGTGGCATAGGTTGTATCAGAAAACAGCTCTGGCTTTTCTAGTTTCAGCTCCTTGGCAATCTCTCGCAGTCCCAGCAAGTGATTGTCTATTGCCATCCCAGTGATTGCCTGTTTTCAAAGAGTGGACAAGCAATATTTTATTGTAGAGTGGACAGTATGACAATCACAGTTTGATAATCACAGTCAAACATGACTGTAACTGGCAGATTGTGTAATTGTACTGTAGTTCAAATTCTGTTGTCCGTTTCACTTACTAGAATTGTGTATTTGGTTTGGGCTTTAATGGCAGTCCAAAGCAACTCCATTTTTTCAGCATCCTAAATAAAAAAAGACAGGTTATTACTAAGCTACTCCTGTTTTGACAATACGCACAGCATTGACTACAGATGAGCTGACATTGCAAAAATGCAGGGCAGTTTGAATAGAATATAATGAAAACAGACTAAACTACATACAGTGATTTTGGAGCTATTTGCCATAGCTTTCACAAATGCTAAGGCCTCAGGTGTGGAGGAGCGAATGTTGTCAACTCGTCCTTCTTGAAAGCGGCGTATTGATGCACTTTCATAGGTGGGCACTAGACGTCCATGACATCTGAGTGCAAAAGCAAAAAAGAGTGTCAGACATAAGTCTTCACTCTGTAGTACTAATACATCTTAAATTAAAGAGAAGACTGACCTGTAAAATGTAAACTGGAGGGCAACTTGAATATAAGCATCAGGGCTCATTTTCTGTTTCTTGATGAACTCTTTGCCATAACCAGTGAATTTGTTGACATTCATGTCCAGATTTTTCACAAGTCTGTGGGAATTAACAGTTAATACACTAAAGAGTTTGGGGTCAGTACTATTTTTTAAATGTTTTTGAAATTCTCTTATGCTCACTGGGGCTGCATTTATTTAATCAAAAATACAGTAAAAACCGTAATATTGCTTTCTATTCTGATAGATTTTAAAATGTAATTTATTCCTTTGATGACAAAGCTGAATTTTCAGCATCATTACTTCAGTCATCAGTGTCACATAAGACATTAGAAATCATTCTAATATGCTAATTTGCTGTTTCTTATTATTATCAATGAAAAGAGTTGGAAACTGGGATGCATTTCAGGATTCTTTGATTTACAGCATTTGCAAAAGAAATCTTCTGTATAACATTTATAAATGTCTTTCACTTTTATTCTTGTCTGTCACTTTTTGACAATTTCAGGATTGAAATAGTCAAATTCATATTTTTCAAAATAAACATCTTGTTGACCCCAGACCTTTTAACAGTAGTGCATGTAAGAAACCAAAAGATACTAAAACATTTATTGTATTTTACACTATTTATTTGTTCAAATTGTATTTATTTATATGAATAATTGAATAATTAACTTTGATGGCTTCTAAGATATGCATTAATAGGATGAGCAGGGTTTAGTGTAATAAATGGCATGCTATCAGAATGGAATCTGTTAGACTTTATAGACCGTACTACCCTGTTGTATCACCTGAATGTTGACATACCTCTGTAATTTGTCTGCTGAGGCCGTGAGGAATGCTTGGATATCTGGCGAGCATTTCCAGCGCAGTCGTCTGGGGGCAGGAAGCTCACTCATGCTGGCTGCCCTCACAAGCTTAGAAGGGCTTCCTCTCCTGTGAGAGAAACAATCTCATTGCGTCTTCACTAGCTTAGTTGTTATTCTCAGGCTGTGGGCATATATCTCAAGTCGTCTCATTAGAGTTTTCCATTTCAGCCTCTTTGGCAAATACATAAATGTAATTGTGATGTGCTAGTGAGAATAAGCATGCAGAAAGATATTACAGATTCTTTCAGAAGTGAATGTATTCTTTGAATTTGCCAGACCAACAGTGCATTCTGGGTAATCAAGAGTTGTTTTGAAATTCATTTCTATGAATGATATAATAATTTGGCTTACATGTATCTCAGTAGATATTCTGAACATTGCACAAGCACTATTCCTTCAAAAGGTGAGTGTTCACATACAACACCACAGCATCCATCTGCACCTATTACAAACTGAAATCATTACAGTAGTTTAATTTTAGAATTCATCTTCCTGGTCATATGATCAATGCAATTTGAATCCATGCTTGTTTGTTTGTTTTTCTACCTGCATGGGCTTGTCATACCAGCGATTG